ATCCACGAGGAGGTTCAGTGAACTATCGGAGGACTGGCCGGCGATCGGCAATAATTCGAGGCTGATGAGGCAAGAATTGTACGCGCGAACGAGCATTATTGCCAAAGTGGCCTGTTGACAAAAAGCCTCAGAGCTAATCACGAAATTCCGTGAGCCGCCGGTTGCGCGTTTAGAAAGTGGAAAAAATCGATCAGCGCGCGGTATCGATACGCCGATTTTCGTTACCGGAGCCTCGATTGTTCGCGTCGGCTGGTATCGCCAGATACGTATCGCCAGATCGTGGATTAAATCTCACCGCGCTCTCTGATCGCAATTAGCTACGCCCTGCGGTTTGTTAACGATCGGGGATCGTTGCTTTGCATTTTCGCAGCTTCCCCGGTTAATTTATTCCCTCTTGTGGAACGGTGAAACTCGCGGAATCGATCCGGCGAAGTATTCAGTCACGTTCATCCCGCTGCCGGCCATTAAATATTCGCATAAAGTACCGTCTCAGATATAATAAATAAATCATCAGGTGATAAAAAGAGGAAGGAATTCTAGTAGCGAAGCACACCTAAGAGCGACTGGACAGTGCTCTTTGAGCGATCTTGCTCGAGCGTGTACCTATGAATATTAAAGAAAAGCGAGAGAGAGAGAGAGAGAGGGAGAAAAAAAGAAGAACGACAGGCGAACAAAAAAGGAAGAGAAGTACGCTACCGATCCCACGACGATGGTTTCCGCGATGGTATCCGGCCGCGAACGATCCTTTTAGGTGATCCGTGTAGCCGTGGAGCAGATCGACTCTTGCTCTCTCGCTCGTTCCCTCGTTTTTCTCGTCTCTCATCTCGCCACGTCGCGCGCGTCTCCTTTCATTTTAACGCATGATCGCGCACCCGATCCGAACGGCGCAACACACCCACCGATCTCTCTAATCCTGCTCCTATACGCACCGCCGCTCCGTAGAAATAGAAAACGTCGCTTCTCGAATGCTTCTCTTGGCGCGTCGCGCTTTAAATTGCGCACCGCTCCGAACGTTCCACCGTCAGGTATTTTAATTAATTGAGTCGTTGCCCGCATTTTTCCCGCTGATACGTTCCGACCGGGAGGCGGTGAGAAAGGAAAGAAGTCGAGGATGAAATAGGATTGTTCCTGTCAACTTTACTTGCTTCGTTTTTAAGAAACGGTTGGAAGAAATTCGTCTGCCCACGCCTCGGTTAGATAATGATCGCGTAAACGCATGCAACTCGGAGGATTTACGATCGCCATTCAGAGATCTGTTTGCTTCTTAGAGGCTCTCGGCTGAAGAGGTGGCTGCTGCGTACGATTTTGCGTCACACAGTCACTTTCCACGGATCGTATAACGTACGGGGGCCGGGAAAGAGGATCGCGATCGATTTCTTCTTCCGTCCCGCGTGCAAGATCGATCCCTCGATCTTTCGAGCCGAGACCGGAACGGTGAACGCTACGTGAAACCAGCCGCTCGGCGCTGGTTGCGCCAAAAGGATAAATTTAGATTACTTTCACTGTTTGGCGAAGCCCGATCGAAGCTACGATTATACGCAGCTTCTTTTTTTCCCCTCTTCTTCTTCTTTCTATTTAAGCGGTAGTGAAAAGCGACCTGGCGATTCCACGCTGTCGATTTATTCCAACGTGTATACACGTGAGATGGTGGTGTGTGTTCGATGGTGGATGAAAGACGGTGTCGATTGAAATATCGCGTGGTTAAGACGACAAATTGCAGGACGCAGAGGTTGGAATATGAAGAAGCCCG